AAGAAAGAAAGAAAGAAAGAAAGAAAGAAAGAAAGAAAGAAAGAAAGAAAGAAAGAAAGAAAGAAAGAAAGAAAGAAAAAGAAAGAGGAAAAAGAAAGAAAGAAGAAAGAAAGAAGAAAGAGAAAAGAAAAAGAAAGAAAAGAAGAAAAACCCTGCGGTCTGCTTCTGTAAAGTACTTGCTGTATTCTTTGAGCCTCAGATTCCTTATCTGAAAAATGAAACCAGCAACGTTCCATGTCACAGGATTTCTGTCACAGTTAGACATGAATAACAACAGGAAGTACTATGCAGGTGTAAGCAGCCACCTTTTCGTTCTAATTCTTCCCAAGTGACACCAGTCTATACCCCACGGATTCTCTCAAGCGACTAGTCTCTCCTTGTGTTTGAAGGGTGGCACTGTAGGAGAGTGGCCTTCATGAGGCCTTCAACCTCACATCTTGGACAATGTCTTTAAAAAGCCTAGGGTTTCTTTTGGTAACACCGCAGCTGCCACGGGGGACTTCTAGAATTGCCCTGAGACTGTGTCCCACCCCCGGGGACCGAGTGCAGCCTGCCCTCATCTCTGCCCTTCTCTGCCCAGCAGTGCCCATGACCTGTGTGGCTCCACGCTCCTGCTCCTGTGCAGCCTGCCCTGGCAGCTCTGCTTGCTGGCGTCGTCTGGGGCTGTGCCACAGCCGCATCTTCGATGTTCTTCTGCCTCGGGACTGGCAAGCCATGCCAGGGAGACAATTCCCAAACCTCCTCACCTTCTACAGGTTCCTGAGCCAGCGGGAGGGCCAGAGCCTTGGGTGTACAGTTCCGGGGGCCAGCACTGTCCTCAGACCTCATTAGCAATAGTGTAATGAATTCCCCCCAAAACCATAGGTCTTTCCAAAGGAAAGCCTTCCCCTCTAAATAACCAACTCTGCTTGGGTGGGCAGACTCGTGTGGTACCTTTCTTTCTCTTTTCCACTGAAGCCCTCATTCCTGAGAGCACCCTCCCACCTAGCCCATTATAAACTCCAGTCACCTGGGAGCTTTGTAATTACACATCAGTTGGCCACACACTTCCTTTTTTGTCTCATAGCATACACAGGGAGCATCTCCTTATTACACTACATGTGGATATCCCTGAACTCATTTATAAACCTGATTAGAGCTCATAAGCCCCTTCTGCTAGTAATAGCAGAACCTGTCCCATTCAGAATGTGTCGCGCTGTTACCCTAAGGATCCATAGGGCCATGTATTCCAGACTGGTCTGTTATCAGCAGCCCCCTCCTCCATCATGGCATCACCCAGTTTTTGCTCTGCTGTTCCTCTTCCGCAAAGACACCAGAAGAAATGTATCTAAGCACTGTCACTCACGCGAAGGCCCCTGTCCATGTTAAGAACAGACTGAAGGCGGCCTCCTTCTTACAGGACTTCTGGGTCATGTGTCGGGGCTAGGAGAGGGGCCTCTACCCACGGGAGCAGCCACGTTGTCCTCAACACTGCACACAAATCCCTGGAAGAGGTCCTTCCACTTGGAGGTCTCACATCCTACATCAGGAGCTCGGCTCACTGTCCCATCCACCTCCTCTCCTTACCCTTTCCAGCTCCCTCTCTTGCAGAAAGTGAAAGGAACAAACCCCAGATACAGAGCTGATCTGGGGGAATAAGACATGCCTGGAGTCAGAGATACCATCTAGTCAGTCCCACCCAGGAAGAGTCTGCCCCCCACTCACCCACACAGTGTGTCCATTCGCTGGCTGCCACGTGGTTCTGAGGGCTCCCATGGGTGGAAAACCAAAGCCTGCTCTGGGAGGATGCTAGGTGCCCTGAGGGACAAACACTAGAGATCTTCCCCTTCTGATGTTCATCTGGGGGAGCTAGCCAAGATGCATGCATTTAGAAACTTCTTCCCCCAAACAGGACGTGTGGTTCAGGAGGGCTTCTGGGAGTCTGAGAGCAAGGCAGCACCGTGTCAGCCCACAGCATTATGTGCCCAGTGCAGGAGCCAACTCTAAAAGCACCCTGGGATCCTCTACCGCTTAAGATGAAGAGGAGGGGTGTTTTAAGCTGTAGGGGAACCAAAAACAGGGTTCAGACTTAGGAAAGCAAGGGAAAGAGGCGTGAACCCCATGGCCAGGGCAAGACTTGTGGTTTTTATTTCTTTTCCCACGGGAGCCCCTGCTTCCACAGTCTTTACCTTCTCAGAGGACTTAAAACTGGCAGCCCCGTTAGACAGGAACCCCTGCTCTAGTGGGACAGGCAGCCCCGTAGACAGGAACCCCTGCTCCAGCGGGACAGGCAGCCCCGTTAGACAGGAACCCCTGCAATAGTGGGACAGGCAGCCCCGTAGACAGGAACCCCTGCTCCAGTGGGACAGGCAGCCCCGTAGACAGGAACCCCTGCTCTAGCAGGACAGGCAGCCCCGTTAGACAGGAACCCCTGCTCTAGCGGGACAGGCAGCCCCGGTTGACGGGAACCCCTTTTCTAGCGGTCTTTCTATCAAACTGGACACTGCATTTCTGAATGCCTTCCTTGCACACTCCTTTGCTGCTCCAGTCTTTGTAGTGGGTGTAACTAAAGTGTGATTTCCTGATATCTAACCATCTCTGAAAGGCTTCAGAGAGTTGTTGTGACGCTTCAAGAGGACTTGGAGTGGGAGGTGTCTGGTACATGGCCTGGCACATCGTGATCTGGACCACCCTCGTACCCTGTTACCCCTCTAGGCATCAGGCCCCAGGGGTACTGTTGGAGGCTTTGTTGGAAGGGGTGGGGACACCCTTTAGAATACCCTTTCCTTCCTTGAGGAGGAAGATCAGGAGGGGACCCTGTAAGATCTGCTGCCTCCTTCTAGTACAGAGACATAAATCTTTCTCCCCAAACCCCCTTTCTGTTTGCTTTATAGAAAGCCTTCAAGGAAACACTGTACTCCCCGTAACTCACGTACTTCAAGCTCTCGGAACTGTTGCTGTGGCTCTGGGGGCCCTGGGAGCTGCCTACTTCATCGCTGAATCCTTCTGAACTGGACCCCAGGCCAACGGTCCGGCAGGTATGTACGAAGATTGCCTTATCCCTTTTCTCTAGATAGAAATATCTCAAAGTGGACTAGGCCTTCAGCTCATGATCTAGACAACTCATTCCTGCCTCAAGATGGTCTGCCATGGCTCTCTCAGGAGACCTTTTATTAGCACCATCAGGACAAAGCTTCTGCCTCCACCCTTGTCCCTGACCTGCTATGGCTTCCCTGGTCCTGGATGGGAGAAGTAGGATGGGTGGGGTAGAGGTTGCTCACTCTCTCGAAGCCTTTCTCAGAACTTCTAAAAAGCTGGTTACCCTTCTCATCATCTCCTTGGTGGCTCGGCTCCCCTGGTGTACCTCAACTCCAGTGACTGTGTCCACTCACACCGGTGTCCTCCAGCCTGTCCCACGTGGTCTTTGGAACGTGTGTGATCTCTCCCACTCCTTACTTATAACTCACCATCTCTGCATATGAGGATGTCTTCAGTCACCTGTTTCACCTGAGCCCCCTTGAGCCCCAGAAGCAGAGCCGGAAACAAGGATTGGGTGCGCCTGATACCTTGAGGAAGTACTCTCAGGAGGAAGCCGGGGTGAGTGGGGAGGCGAGAGGAAGAAGGGAAGGAGAAGGGAAGGCCTCCACCTGGCTCCACAGAGTCCCAGAATGCTATTTGTACAGCAGAGCCACCCCTCAAGAGACACGAGGTTTCCCCTTCATGTCCCTGTGTCACCTGATCATGTGTGACTATATGGGTGTAGGGAGGAAATTCGGGTCTTGGTGGGAAAAGCAATTTCCCAGGCTGGGGGCCAGTCACTGGACGAGGGTAGCTCTTGGTCATCAGCAGCCATTTTTGAATCCACCATTCAAAAGGCCAATGCATCCGCTGTGAAGGGAACTGGGGAAGGTGATCACCAAGAGCACCCATAGTCATCCCAACAGCTAGGTCTTGTTCAGTGAATGCTTAAAAAGTGGTGGCTGAGGAAGGGAGTGAGAGCCAAGAGAGACATTTAGGCCCACCTCTGAGCCCTCCATCTTCCCTGGGAGTGGACAGGTGATGATTATAGTCAAACATAGGTCTGGGAATCAATGCTTAAAACATATAAACATCCAAGTCCTGCAAATACTCCAGTGAGAGTGTAAACTCTTTTCTGGAGCTCCTGATGTCTATTCAACCATCATCTAATACTAATTAATCATTTTAAACCACCTGACCTCCAGGAAATACCACAGCACTTAAGAGCCTTGGCTCCCTCTTCCTGGACTTGCTGGGAGTGAGAAGGTGTCTGTAGGAGATAGCTGATAGCTGGTGACTGCTGTGTCTTGTTATTGTATCAGCACGATGCCTGAGAAGATTCTGCCTTTGGAGTTAACTTGACAATCTCTAGACTGCTGCCTGGACTCAGTGTTAGAAACATGTTCTTAACTTCTCTGTCCATGTCATCTCTGGTGGAGAGTAACAGCTCTCTCCGAAGACAAAGGTCATGAGGATTAAAAGAGAAAGATTTAGAGGTGTCCTACGCAGGGCCACTGCCCAGGGTGGGGCATATGAAGGATGCAAGCATTTTTATCTATGAGATTCTTTGTAGTGTCGCCGACTGCTTGAAGCATGGGTTCTGCAAGCATATGAGGATTTAGGGTTAGATGTCCCTTTGGCATCCAGTGCCTGGAGCTGGGGGCAGGCTCTGACATCTCATTCTCTTCCCGTTGAGTGGAGATAATACCAGCAGAACCCTCTTGTTGGGAAGATTGAGCTTTAGATGTTAATGATGGAGAGATGTCTCACAGTGAAGCACTTGCCTTGCAAGCATGAAGACGTGAGTTCAGATCCCCAGCACCCGTATAAAAAGCAGGAACCAGCAGTGTGACCCCAATGCTGGAGAGCTAAGGCAGGAGGATTCTTGGGCCTCTCTGGGCAGCCCGTCTAGCCAGCCAGTGAACTCTAGGTTCAGCGAGAGACTACACCTTGTCTCAAAAGTAAGGTGGGGAGCAACCGAGGAAGACGTCATGTTGACCTCTGGCGTCCGTACATCTATGTATCAATCAGCACACACATGCAGAGACAAACTGGTGGGGGAGGGGGGAGGAGAGAGACTGTGCTGCTGCAAAACTGCTCATTAGGTCACCTGAGACAAACCAGGATCCTCTGCAAGAACGAGTGTTCTTCACGGCTCAGCCATTTCTCCAGACTTTAATTAGCTTTGGAAGTAACAAGTTCCTTTATGGCATTTTCACATTACTTAATTTGGGTTGATTCTCCCCGACTCCTCCTGTCTCCCCACCCTCCCATCCGAATTGTACTCTCCTGTCCAAGAACTGCCCCTTCCACGTCTCATGTGACCTATCATCCTCCCCACACCCTTACTCAAAGCCTCTTTCTCCCATCTACTGGGCTCCTTTCCAGCTTCCTGACACCTACTCACACATATTCCCACATACATATGCAAATCTGCTTCCTCTTAGAGAAAGATGCTCCCAGAATTTTCCTTCCTAGAGCTTGGTGAAACAACGTCTCCCTCAGCATTTTCCTCAGCTGATAATGAGGCAACAAAAGCAAAAAGTTCCTTTGGGATCTTGAATATGGTCAAAGTCCGCACCATAGGAACCTCTGAGGGAATGAGGCCCCCTCTTGGCTGCTGCGGTCTCTCGAGGAAGGGGGGGTTGACAGGGAGGATACCGACCCTGGCAGAGCCCAGAGGACGCTCTTGGACTTGACTGTCACAGCCTTGGGGTGAATCAGTGTAGCTGACTTCGATTGAAGAAGCAAACAAGAAGAATGGGAGAGATCCGTGAAGAAGGAAGAGAAGGAAGAAGAAAGAGAGGTAGGAGAGAGAAAAGAAGAAGAGAGAAAGGAGAGGAGGAGGAAGAAGAGGAGGAGGATAATAAAAGGAATTTGGATTCTAAAATAATTTACTTTTTTTGCAAAAAGCATGTAGCTGTTGAACCCTCATAGATAAGACTGTAAAGGTTGAAAGCTGTTGAGATAGGTCACGAGGGACTGATTAAGCTAATGGTTCTGTCATTTATTTATTTTTCCTTACAGATCCAGTTTCCATCCAAGGATCTCACTTGTCACCAAAATAGAGAGAGAAAAATATCTTGTCTCTTTTCTTCATTTTATGTTATTTAATTTATTTATGTATTTAGTTTTTCGAGACAGGGTTTCTCCGTGTAGTTTTGGTGCCTGTCCTGGATCTCGCTCTGTAGACCAGGCTGGCCTCGAACTTACAGAGATCCACCTGGCTCTGCCTCCTGAATGTTGGGATTAAAGGCATGCGCCGCCGCCGCCATCACTGCCACCGCCACCGCCACTGCCACTGCCGGGCTTTTTTTTTGAGACAAGGACTTCTATGTAGCCCACATTAGCCTTAAACTTAATATCGTCCTACCTCCTGCAGAATGCTAGGGTTACAGGCGTGTGCAGCCACACCCAGCTAGAAATCTGTCTTCAGTGTCTTTTGCTCAGAAATATGGAAGTTGGATCCAGCACACAGTCGGGGAGGTAAGTGCCTTTAAGATGTTTAGAGCTGAAATAGGAACCCACCATTCTTGGTCTTGGCCTCTCTGCACACTCTGCACAAAATCAACAAGACAATGTGTTTTTATTTTTCTCACTCTAAAAGCAAGAATTGCAAGGCACAATTCAATGCCTGATTTAACTAGTCAGCCTCACCTCAGGCCAGTTAGTAGGGGCAGGAGGGATGAGCTAACAAAAAGCCTACATTCTGGGAGGCAAGAGCCCTAAACCCAGCAGGGCTATCTCTAGGAAAGAGTCCCTCTTGTGATGAGGTCCTGACCTGCTTACACCCTGTGGTTGCTTCTGGCTGATGCTGGGTGAGCTTTTCCTTCTCTTAATCAGGTAGAATCATAGTCAACAGAAACCCCAGCAAATACTCCTGGAAGAGGCAGATATTACAGGGAAAGGAGATGGACAGCGCTGGTTACAGTGGCCTCTGCAGGCAGCTGGAGTCAGACTTTGCTGGTGCCACCCTGGAAGATAGCACCACACACCATCAGAGTAATCCATACCCAAGACAAAACTAAGCAGTAACAGCCGCTCCTGTCTACCACGGATGGGAGGCCTACTAGGAGGGAGACACTTCTGTCCTCCTCTGGAGAGGAGACCTGTAGACAGAGAAGAGTAGATGTCAGAGAAAGCTGTGCCCAAGTGTTGTGGGCAGGTAAAGGTGGGCTAAGAACTTGCTGTTTCTCTAAGAGTTGGCCAAGGGGGAATCTAGCCGGACTGCCCCTGATGGGGGGGGACGGGACTGATCTTCCTGTAGCAATAGAGAGAATTGGATGGGGTAGGCCAGGCTGGTTACTTACTGGGATCCCCAGAACTCTAGAATCTTTGTTTAAGGCGATCCCAGCAAACACCACTAGCTGAAGGAAATGTCCAGGCAGCAGAGGTGGCCAGCACTGGCTTATAAAGCCTTCTCTGAAAAGTCAGGCTCTAGAAGAATGCGTAACAAGAGACACAAGAGAGTTGTGCTTCTGCCCAGTGCTGCGGTTTGAGATGAAGAAGCCCACAGATATCAGAAACCTAGTGGCCCCTGCTTCGGCAAGGCCTGACCCCTGTGACCGAAGATGAACTCCTCTCCCTGGTGTATTCATTAGACCCCCTTGTTGTAAATAACTTGGCAAAACCTTGACCCTGGTTAAACACAGCCCTCGGCCGCGCACAGGCTGTGCCGGCTTATGCAGACACACGGAGCTGCTCACCCAAACAAGCCAGACTCACGTTAGATGCTCTCTCGCTCTATTCATTTTCTCGATCTCCCTTAGTGCCTCATGTATCCCAGGCTGGCCATGTCTTCCAGGGTGGTCTCATGTATCCCAAATTCCCTATGTAGGAGGAGAACAAATTCCCTGAGAAGACCTTGAACTGATCCTCCTGCCTCCACATCACACGTGCTAGAATTACAGGCACACACCACCAGGCACAGTTTCTGCTGTACTGGGGATCAACCCCAGGGCCATGTACATTCTAGACAATCACTTCAGCAACTGAGATGCATCTCTAGTCCCAGACTTACTTTAAATACCTGACCACAGACTCCAGGTGGGACTATGAGGGGCAAGGGCTCAAATCACCTTATATTCCCCATTCTGTTGTCCTCAAACCTCCTCCACCTCCTTCCCCCATCTCTAAGACTCTGCCCACAGTGCCTGTTACCCTGTCCCTGAGGCACTGACTGATGGGACCATACTTTGGTGTTCTAGGAACCAAAGTAAATGGACTCAACCATCATGGGTTCTTTTGTCTGGCTGCTTTTTTTCAACACAATGTTTTGAATTTACATTTCAGTCCTATATGTAGCAATAGTTCTCTTTTTATTTCTAAGTGTGTCTCCATTCATCTGCTACTGATAACGAGTTATTTTCAGGTAGGGTTCATAAATAAATTTTTTAATAAAAGTGAAGTTTTCATTTTTTTTTAAAGACCTAGAAAAGAAATTGCTGGATTCTAAGGTGTGCATATGTTTAACTCACTTGGTGAGAAATTTTCTGGAATGTTTGTACCATCTGAGACTCCTCCATCAGAACTGTGAACGTTCTGGAGGCTCCACACTGCCTAGCCATTTAGTGAGCCAGTGTGTGATACCCCTCTGGACCAACAAAAAACTTTTTACTGACCCGCTGTCTAGATCTGTTGTTAAAGAATTGACAGTAAATGTTTAGCTGTGAAAGTGGTTTTATAGTCAGGGTTAAAACAGTCATATATATTAGCTGGGCGGTGGTGGCGCACGCCTTTAATCCCAGCACTCGGGAGGCAGAGCCAGGTGGATCTCTGTGAGTTTGAGGCCAGCCTGGGCTACCAAGTGAGCTCCAGGAAAGGCACAAAGCTACGCAGAGAAACCCTGTCTCGAAAAACCAAAAAAAAAAAAAAAAAAAAAAAAACAGTAAAAAAAAATATGTTATATATGGTATAAATAGAACACTAGAAGGCAGAAATTCAGAGGAAGTTGAAATGGGTGATTGTGGTGGGAACCAGGTGAGGGGTCATTTTTACTTGGGGTTCATGGCATGGCACTCTGCAGAAGGATTAGTTTAAGCAGAAAGCCATTGAGAAATAGCTCTTTGACCTCTCTGATCTACCTGAAAACAGCACAATTTCTGCTGTTTTGACCTCACCCCAGGAAGGGTAAACAGTCTTGTCCCTAGAGACAGCTTACAGGGAAACCACCCCACACAACGCTTGCCTCATCTGCCACTAGTGACCCCACATTCGTACCCTGTACTCTTCCACAGTTGGCTACCATACACAGAAGACCATTTACAACTTCCCTACAAAAGTCGTTGGTGAAGATGCTCTCTAAGTCCTGCCTTTTGTTATTTCTCTGAATGCTCTCCTGCATGCCTCGTTAACAACTTGTTTTTTTCTTGTTAATCTGCCTTTTGTCAGTCTAATTTGGAGGGCTCTGTCAACAAACCTAACATGGGTAAATGAAAAAGGATTTTTCCCTCCACATTAGATATGAATTTTTTCATCCCCAACCCCCAAAATCTATATGTTAAAACGTAAGCCAATCCCCAATATGTCAGTATTAGGTGGGGCCTTTGGAACATGATTAGGTCATGCAGGTGGTGCCCTCCTAAATGAGTTTAGTACCTTTATTAAAACAAAAGAGATGGCTCAGCTGTTAAAGGCTAGGCTCACAACCAAAAATATAAGAGTTCGGTTCCCAGCACCCACAGCTGTCTCTCCAGCCACTAAAAAAAAAAAAGAACCAGGTAGTGGTGGCCAACACCTTTAATCCCAGCACTCGAGAGGCAGAGCCAGGCGGATCTCTGTGAGTTTGAGGCCAGCCTGGTCTACAGAGTGAGATCCAGGAAAGGTGCAAAGCTACACAGAGAAACCCTGTCTCAAAAAAAAAGAAAAAGAAAAGAAAACAAAAGCAAAAGGTCCCGGGGCTGAGGATGTAGCTCAGTTCTAGAGTGTTTGCCTAGTATGTACAAAGCCCTGGCTTCAATCATTGGCACAACATAGACCTGCAATCCCAGTACTCTCTAGATAGAGGCAGAAGGATTAGAAATTCAAGATCATCGTCCACGACATAGCAAACTCAAGACCAGCCTGGGCCACAGGAGACCCTGTCTCAAGCTCAATTGTGCCTCAAAAAAACTTCTCCTCTGCTCTCATGCCTCACAACACTGAAGACTCCTGAAAGCCTCTGTGACCTCGGGAGGAGAGAAGACTTCTCCACACCAGCAAGCAACACTGATGCTGTGGTCAACATCCTTGGGTCTTTCCAATCCAGTTCTGACACAACCTGCCTGGAGATAGAGTCTACCGGTTGAGGGCTCAGATCTCAGGACTGCCCCCATCCAGCAGGTTCTAGACCCAGACTCTGTGCTTCTGACCCACTGGCATAAATCAAAGTTTCCCCAAGCTCTCCTCGTATTTGGGTTTGCTAGAATGACCCTCTAGGGACCCAAGGAAACATGTTTATTAGCTACAGAGGCTGGGCGGTGGTGGTGTACACCTTTAATCCCAGCACTCGGGAGGCAGAGGCAGGTGGATCTCTGAGTTTGAAGTCAGCCTGGTCTACAGAGTGAGTTCCAGGGCAGCCAGAGAAACCCTGTCTTAAAAAACAAACAAAACAAAAACTCTCCTGAGGGTAGGGTATGGGGATGGAGCAAGGGACTTCCCTGTCCCCTCATGCACCATCCTCTGTGAACAGCTATGCAGGATCACCCCAGCCTTGTCTACGGAGAGTTTATTACCTAGGCATGATGCATGCACAGACACCAGTGCTGAGACGTGATTGGACAAAAAGAGATTGTTCCATTGATGACAGAACGAATGGGTGGGGGAACAGACACAGCAAGGCCTGTTAGGATTCTTCTCAACATCTCTGGGCAGCATTCTCCCTCTAGGGTAATGGGGAGGCTGTTGTGACCTCTGGTAAATCATAGAATTTCTTTACAGTCAACTGCAAGTCGGTCAGAAGAAGACTGGAGTTTCTACAGCCAGCCTGGGGAAAGAAATTCTAACTTCATGGCCTGGACTAGAGAGGGAAAGCTTAAAGTGGTAAATACAAATTTAAAACGCACACAGTACACCACACAGGAAGTTTTTTTTTGTTTGTTTGT